GAAGGGAGGGAGGGAGAGGGAGGGAGGGAGGGAGAGAGAAGGAGGGGGGGCGGGGGGGAGGGGGGGGAGAACCAGAGCTTCTTTCCCGCGGCTCACACCACTAAGAGCGCAGACGCGGGAGGAGGAGGAGGAGAGGAGGAGGAGGAGGAGGTGGGGAGGGAGGGAGACAGAGAGGAGGAGGCCTGGAGAGGAGCAGGGAGGGGAGGGGAGGAGGGGTAGGGGAGGAGGGAGGAGCGAGGGGAGGGGGGAGGGGAGGAGGGAGGCAAAGGGGGGAGGAGACGATGAAGCGGAGGACGGGGAAGAGAAGGCCCAACTCCACGAGCCGTCCGTCCTCCGAGCCCGCCGGAGAACAGGAAAAACGCTGGAAGGAGCCGGTCCTGAGGGAGAAACGGGTCCTGGACCCTGGGGCCCTGCCCCGTGGTACCAGCTCTCTTCCCTCCTCCTCCTCCTCCTCCTCCTCCTCCTATCCCTCCTCCCCCTCCTTCTCCTCCTCCTTCTCCTCCTCCTCCTCCTCCTCCTCCGTCTCCTCCTCCTCCTCCTCTTCCTCCTCCTCCTCCTCCTCCTCCTGCTCCTCCTATCCTGAACCGCCTTTCGACGGTCCTGGTGGCCCGGGGATGAGGGCCCCAGGAGCCCGAGGATGGCGAAGCTGGTGAGGACCCGCTTCCCTCAAGACCCGATTGCTTCATGGTGCGGGAAAGTGTGAGAGAGAGAGAGAGAAACAACAACAAAAGAGTGAGAGAAGAGAGAGAGAGAGGGAGAGAGTAAAAGAGAAAGATATGCATAGAGAAATAACGAGGGAGCATAGACTTAGATAACAAAAACGATGACAGAGAGAGGTAACCAAGCAACAGATCACCAACGACGACTAGCGAGAGCGAGAGAAAGAAGCAGTGGGGAAGAGAAAGAGAGATAGAGGAGACAGAGGGGGGATAGAGATAGAGAGAGACATCTAAACACCAAACAAACACGTAACAAACAACGTTAGCAAGCGTGTACAACCTACAGTGCGTCTCGAGCAAACGATGTTGTGCGCAATATGTGTGGTGCAATCGATGTTATGCAAGATACATGTATAAGGTGTATATATATATATGAATATAGGTATCTATGTGGTGCAATATCTGCTGTGCAATCTCGGTTTGTTCACGATGTGTGGTGCAGCCAATGTGATGCAGTCTATGTGGTACAATATGTGGTGTGCAATCTCTGTTGTTCAGTATGTGCGGTGCAGCCCATGTGATACCATCTACGTGGCGCAAACTAAGGTGTGCAATCTCTGTTGCGCAGTATGTGTGGCGAAGTCTACGTGGTGCAACTTATGTGGTGCCCAATGTGCGTGGTGCGATCGACGTGGAGCAATATGTGTGGTGCCATCTATGTGGGCCACCTTAGTTGTTGCAATCAACGTGGTGCAATATATGTGGAGCGAGCCATGCTGTGCAACGGACGTGGTGCAAACTGTGTGCGGCAATCGATGTGGTGCAAGCTATGTGGTGCAGACATTGTTGTGCAATTCATGTTGCGCAATAAATTGTGCATTCTGTGTGATACAATAGATGTGATGCACTCTATGTGGTGCGCAATCTAGGTGGTGCAACCTATGGTGTGCAATCTATTTGGTGCGATCTACGCGGTGCAATCAATCTTGACCGTCTTGAAGCTGTCCTCTCCACTGCTCGTGCAAACATCCCACCCTCCCACCCGCAACTTGGTCGCAAGACCTCTTCAGACAAGACCGTGACGGTAGGTACCACATGGCACTTGGCCACGACACCGACGCCGACGACGACAGCGACATCGACGACGACGGCGCCGCCGACACCGACTGCGACGACACCGACGACGTCTCCAATGTTTTCGACGACAACGACGACGACGACACCGACGACGACGACGACGACGACGACAACGACGCCGACGACGACGACGACGACGACGACGACGACGTCGCCAACGGAGACGACGACGAGGGAGGAGAAAAAACGACGACGGCGACACCGACGACAGACGACGATGGAGGAGGGAAGACGGCGACGACGCCAACGACGAAGAAGGAGGAAGGACGGCGACGCCGACGACGACAACGACGAGGGAGGAGGGAAGACGACGACGATGACAACGACGACGAAGACGACGACGACGGCGACGAAATAGGAGGGACGACGACGAGACGCCGACGACGGACGACGACGACGAGGGAGGAGGATAACGACGAGGGAGGAGTGAAGACCACGACGACGACGACGACGACGACGACGACGATAGGAGGGACAACGACGAGACGCCGACGAAGACAACGAGGGAGGAAGGACGACCACGGCGACAACGACGACGGAAGCGACGACGACGCCAAGACGACGACGACGACGACGACGACGACGACGACGACGACGACGACGACGACGACGACGACGACGACGACGACGACGACGACGACGACGACGACGACGACGACGACGACGCGCGCGCGCATGTGTCCCGCATGGTATTATTTGACACGGACAGTGGCCCTGGCAGGCGCGCGAACGTCGTTGAAGGAGCGCGCGAAAGTAGCTCGCACGAGCTCGTGCGACCGAAATGTTGAAAAAACATTGGTTTTGCAAGGTTCGGACAGCGCGAGCGAGCAAAATTTTGAAAATCCGTGCAGGTTTTTTTCGAGGACCTACGGTGCGATTCGTGTGTTTTTATGATACGCAGTGCTGAAATGCTCAAGAAACCAAATGGTTTTTGAAGATTTCGGCGCGCGCGCGCGAAGAAAAAACGAATGTGTCCCGCATGGCATTATTTGACAAGGATTATGCCCCTGGCAGGCGCGCAGCCGTTGTTGAAGAAGTTCGAAGCGCAGGAAAAAGTTGCTCGCAAGAGCCCTTTTGACAGAAATGTTGAAAAAGTAGTGGGTTTGCTAGGAATCCGCAAGAGCGCGCGGGGTGAATGTTTGAAACTTTTTTTTTTTGAAAAACCATTGGGTTTTTGATGTTTTTTATGTAAAAATCGCTACGAACACTAAGGTTTTGGAAGGATTTCGTCTTGCGCGCGCGAATGTGTCCCGCATGGTATTATTTGACAGGGATTCGTGAAAAAGTGTTATGTTAGAAAGAAAAATGTCTCCGCATAATGTTATTTGACAGGGAACCGCAGGGGGGGGGGGATACCGGCTTGGCTGGGATGGTATGAATTCATATTTGGGATGGACATGTGGTCATAATCATATGTGATTTGCAGCACGCGCGGGGGAAGCGATAAGTCCGGGGGGGGGGAGAATGTATTACTCTTTTAGAAAGGAGAATCAATGCTGTGCACTGCGTAGTAAAACATGTGCAATCTGCGCTGTTGTGCAGAACAGACTGTGCAATCTATGTGGTGCGATGCATGTTGTGCAATCCACGTGGTGCAATGTATGTTCTGCACGTGGTAACACGACGGCCAACAGACGGGCGGATTCGGGGCGACGACGGGGCGACGACGGCGGCCACATGGCCACCAGACCGAAGCCACGGCCCAGACGACGGGCGGCGACGAGGCGACGAGGCGGCGACGGCGGTCACACAGCCTCCAGACTGAAGACACGGCCCACACGACTGGCGGCGACGGGGCGGCGACGGGGCGGCGACGGCGGCCACACAGCCTCCAGACCGAAGACACGGCCCAGATGACGGGCGGCGACGGCGGCCACATGTCCGCCAGACCGAGGACACGGCCCACACGACGGGTGGCGGCGGGGCGGCGACGGCGGCCACACAGCCACCAGACCGAAGACGCGGCCCAGACGACGGGGGGCGACGAGGCGGCGACGACGACCACATGGCCACCAAGCCGAAGACACGGCCCACACGACGGGCGGCGACGAGGCGGCGACGGGGTGGCGAATGCGGCCACATGGCCACCACACCGAAGACACGGCCCAGTTCCTAAGAACAGAAGCAATAAGCCCTAAGCGCGAAGGGAACGTGCTAAACATGGGCGGCGCGCAAGCAGGGGTGGCTCGAGAGGGCGGCGGCCGTCGCAGAAGGCGAAGGGCCGTGTGGGGGGGGCCTCCCCAGAAGCGCCTGGGGTGCTTCTGAGAAGGCCTCTCAAAAGCCAGGAGGGCTCCCTAGAATCTCCCATGGAGATCCCACCCAGCAGACAGCCGCCGCCCTCCCTCGTGCCCCCCCCCCCCCTTGCGAGCGCTTCCCATGATACCCCGACACCCGACGCCGTCACTCTTTCACGGCGTGGGCCCCAAGAGGTCGATCAGAGATCTACTGGCCCAGGTCTATCCAAACCCGGGTCAGTCGGGCTTTGCAGGAGCCTGCGGCATCCTGAAGGATCCTGCGCACTAGCCCGGGTCAATGAGCCCCCGGCGCTGGAGGATCCTGCAAAATCCGGCGCTCTGACGGACCCCCGTTTGCATCGACGCCCGTCTCAAGGACCCCAAGGTCTAGATCTCCTCTCAGGGGCCGCGTCTTCACCCCGAGTCGGTTTTTGGGACAGTCCCGGGGCCAGGCGAGGTCCCCCGAAGGCAAAAACTATTTCAACTACTCGTCCGTCGTGCGTTTTTGCCGTGGCCCGAGGGAATCTTGGCACATCCGCCGCCAGGCCCTGCCACCGATCACTTTTGACTCAAGTCTAGACTCAGTCGTACCCTGGCAGGAACTATCGACTGCAGGACATCGTGTGGCCTGAATTCGTTCTGCCGTGAAAGAATGAATGGCCCGAGGGGGTCTGGGGGTCTGGGCGAGAAGGCCAACCCGTGCCTCCTTGACGGCCAAGCTGTGCCCCTCTCCGCCTTCCAGCCCCCCTCTCTCGGGGGCGGCCAAGAGGGGGCGTCCACGAGTGGGGCGCAAATCTTGGCCAGCGGCACGTGCGCGGCCCAGGGGGGGGGGGCGGGGGCGTTTTGAAATGAGAAGAGGCGCCATGAAATCTGGGGAGATATCATGGCCCCCGCCATGATATCCACTCACCCTAGTCATCACCCCCCCCTTTGCCGCTCCCGACTCTCCGCCCCTGCCCCGGACCGCGGCCTGGTCGACGACGCTGCCTGCCGCCGTGGCCAAGGAGCGGGCCTCCGGCGATCGGGGGCGGAGGAGGGACATGGTCGGTGGCGCGCAAACATGGATTGGCGATCCATGGATTTGGCGCGCGGTCGCCAAATCCACGGATCCTCCATCAAATGCGGCCAATGCCGCCTCGCTCGGCGGCGGAAATCCGCGATTTCCCATGGAAACGGGACCCGTCGCTAATCCACACCCCCTTGATACATGTTCGCGATCGCCTGACTAAAGGGCTCGCTATTTCAGGCCTGCGAGTCCTTATTAGGCTAAGCCTCCCTTTGGTCGTTTACCAGATTCTCGGCCTGCTCCCCCTCCCCAAACGGCGGGAAAGTCGGCCCCAAAAAGGAGCGTTTGGGACACCCTTAGGCCCCAAATTGGCCATCACCCCGGCTTCGCCCGGGGGCCGCCTGCGGCGGCTTGGCCTGCGGCGCTTTTCCCACCCCGCCGGCGACGCCCCTCGAGGGGAACAACAGTAAAAAGAGTCTGGACCCCTCCCCCCAGGGACCGGCTCTTCCTCCCGAGTCGTTTTTGGACGTTCCACGGGCCCAGCGAGGGCCCCCGCAGCCCGAAAGCCGCGAGAACCTCCGCCGCCTTGAGAACTTCTCAACGCGATGGGTGTCTGAGGAGATCAAGGGGGGTGGGGGGGGAATTCGAGGGGGAGATCGAGCGGGGGGGCGGAGGGGGAGTTCGAGGGGGGAGACCGAGATAAGGGGGGGTATCGAGGGGGAGATATCGAGGGCGGGCGCGGCCTGGGGGGGGGGATCGACATGGGGATCTCGAGGAGAGGGGGGGGAGATCGAGAAGGGGGGGGGGGCGAGGGGACCTCGAGGGGAGAGAGCGAGACCCAGACCCACGACGTCGTGTCTCCTGTTTTCACAAAACCGACCCCCAAAGGCGTGGACCCTGCCCGCGGGGACCGCTTTCTCATCCCGAGTCGTTTCTTCACGGTCCCGGGGCCCGCTACAGGATTCGGCTTGACCTGAGGAACGATAGATATGGAACGAAGCCCCCTTTCTTCCAAGTAAGTCTAGGTAGTCCGAAGGAACGCCAGGGGGGCTCGCCGCCAAAAAGGTGGCGGAACGCATGCAAACCAAAGGAACGACCGAGCCCCTTTCGAAAGGCAAGTGTTCCTTATTCAAGCCGGACCCTGTATAACGGCCCCCAGAGGCCGAACACCGCGAAAAACCTCCCGTCGTGACTTTCTGTCACGACGCGAAGGGGGTCGAGAAGGTCTAGCTGCCCCGACCCGCAACACGCAACACGTAGCGAATCGATGTGGAGCTCCACACGCGGACTCACAACGTTCGGTCTGACGCGATACGTTCGCCAAAAGCGACGCCAACGAGTTGAGCCAACACGCAACCGGACGCTGGTAAGAACGGTACGTGTTGCGTTTCAAAACGGGCGTCGCCAGGCAGCTACCCGTCGGTCGGAAGCAGTAGGTAGAAACACGAAGCAGGAAGGCGTTGAAAGGAGACTGGTTGTCCGCCCGTCCCCTAAAGAGGACGAAAAGGTGAAGCCACTCGATCATTAGAGTAGGAAGGCGCCTAGAAGTAGATTGGAGTCTAAGAATCCAAATATACCTACTTTCAACGACCGATGGGCAAGGGTCTGGAAGATCCAGGCGTGCTCACCGCGTGCCGCGGCCTGCTGCCTGCTCCGCCGCGCGCGGAGGAGGAGGAGGCGGAGGAGGAGGAGGAGGAGGAGGAGGAGGAGGAGGAGGAGGAGGAGGAGGAAGAGGAAAAGAAGGAGTAGGAGTAGGAGTAGGAGTAGGAGTAGGAGTAGGAGTAGGAGTAGGAGTAGGAGTAGGAGTAGGAGTAGGAGTAGGAGTAGGAGTAGGAG